TTTTGAGTGGAGGGAGTGGGGTGGGGGGGGTGGTAACAGATTCAATTAATACAGCCCAAGCCTGTGTTAACTATTACAATCATTAGAAAATACCCTTTTGTCAAATGTATCTTTCAGATGCCTTTGGCATTCACCAAGAAAATAAATGTCCCGTGCCCATTGTTGTGGATATATAGTACGCATAAACTCTCAGCGTCTGTGTTGGTCATACTCTTTGTGGTGTTTAATATACATGATAAATGCATAAGTTTTCCTGTAACACATTTGTTCACAGGGGATGTGATAAGCCTTGGAGACCGACAGCTTACTGTCATGCACATGCCTGGTCATTCAAGAGGCAGTATTTGCTTACACGACAAAGACCGGAAGATTTTGTTCAGTGGAGACGTGGTGTACGATGGATCCATGATTGACTGGCTTCCCTACAGCAGAATAAGCGACTACGTTGCAAGCTGCCAGCGCCTCATGGAGTTGGTGGACAGAGGTCTTGTGGAGAAGGTACTGCCTGGGCACTTTAACATATTTGGGGCAGAAAGGCTGTATCGGTTAGCTTCCAACTACATTTCGCAAGCTGGAGTTTGTCACAAGGTTTCTGCTTGTGCCATGAGATCCATTGCAAGCATAGCACTTCGCATTACAAATTCGAGAGTCACTTCTTAGTGACAGTGCTTTTTGTGTGATCTATTCCCTGTTGAAAAACCAAACGGCTTGTGAAAGTGTTGATACAAGCAAAAGCAGTATGCATTAGTAAAGCACTGGCAAATTGATACAGATGAGCTGCAAAAATTCCCCCTATTTTTGCCTACTGTACTGCTATTTTTATAGAAAGTATGTAAGCTAGTAGCTGTAGCCAAAGCTACCATTTTTCTTTCTATTTTTTCAGGGCTTGTTTGCACACATATTGTGATTGAAATATATTGTTTTATTTTTGTTATGATTCTGACGGATGCATGTATGCCAAAATGAGAGGGGTTTACCTTCATGCCTGAAACCTTGTTGATGTAGCACTAGGCTTGTGACTATTCACTCAAGTCCTGCTCAGGTTTTGGCCTAACACAGCTTGTGCTAAGACATGGTGTTTGCTGGGAGCAGCGCCGTTAGGTCAAAGCAAGAGCAACACCTATGCAGGAGTCGGTGGGCAGAAAGAGGTAAGGGCCATTCTGCAGCCATTGTCACCTGCCGCTTGGTGTCTGCTGCACCCATCATTGCCTGCATCTTTGCAAAGGAGCTGTCTGGCAGTTTCTTTAGAATCCACTAACGTGGAAATGCTATAGACCAAACTTCCAAGCTGGCAGGTGTAGATACATCAGCTTACCCAAAAAGCTTTTGATGCGGATCCAACAGCTGACGGACTGTTGAGGCTTTCATGCTTACCAGTGTGGTGAGGGAAACACCTGCACCATGATAGAGGAGCAAGAATGAGCACTCTCACCATCAGCTGGGGAACTGTTTTGCTTATAGGCGTGTGAGTTAGGAATTAGAGAATTTGTGAACTAATAAATTAATGTGTTAGACTAGCCTGTACAAAGTGGATTGAGCCCTTGCTTGATGTGTTTGGTTTTTTTCTGATGAGCTCATAAAAAAGAAAATTTATTTACAGAGTATATTGTTCTGTAAATTTGAGAGAACTGGACTGTGACAAGCTTAAAGGTTTTATTTGTGTTTTAAGAGTATTTTTATGTGACTGGATTGTAACTTGGCTGTTAATGCTCTGTGGTAGGGCAAGGATGGAGGCTTTAGCATTATCTTGCCCTAATGCAGGTGCTGTATTAAACAGCTGGTACCCTTATTACCACAAAGTGAATGTAACTTGAACTGTTCACTGTTTGCTTATGAAGTGTTTGGTGTATATGGTTTTTATGAAACGTAAAGTGCATTGCATTTAAGTCTGTTCCAAAAAAAGTTTAATACATTGAGAAATGCTAAATGACATTGTAACTTGCTTATGAAAATTGAATGTGTGATATTTAAAAGCTGTTGAAATGGTTAGAGTTTGTGTAATTATTCTAACAGTCTCTTTCTCTATTTAACTTTTTTAAAAGGACACTGTCTGATGTTATTTTTGTATATAGACATACATACTTCCCTAAAAAGAGTGCAAATGTTTTCCTCAAATCTTAGTGCAGTTTAACCTTATTTGTTTGGCTTTCACTTTATGGGGATACATTCTTCACCAGGATTTATACTGATAGCCTGTGATGTGCCTAGTTGTTGTTAGCAGTGCCTATCTCTGAGATGAAGCAAAATTGTGAGGGGGCAGGAGAGGTGAAGCAATGCAGCACTTGAAAGACCTGTTATCACTCGGATCATAGTCTCTTTTTTGGAGAAATCCAAGTACATTAGAGTATTACATGAGGAGTGTCTAATCAGTGGGTAGACTTCGGTCATAAATGAAGCCAAGAGGTTTTTATTTTGGCCTTGTTTGGCCAGAGGAAGAAATACAAAAGGTTAGCCTGAGAAGCAAAAAACTCATTCAGTGAAGAGGCTCAGAACAAACTCCATGGTGTGGTTCTCCTTTTTAGCTTGCTGACACATGCTGGTATTTTACATAGCAGTCAGCCACTGTTCTTGATAGCCAAGGGTTCACAATGGACAATTGGAGATCTGAAGTGGCAAGTGGGAAAGTCAGAATGGCTGAAGAAATACATAGCACTGAAGCTTACACCAGTTATCCAGATGAAGCCGTGGTATCACAGGTTACCCAACAGTAACTGAATTGCTTCAAATTAGCCATCTGTGGCATAATACCAGTAGTGATCTTGCTCTATGCTTCTGTGAAGGCTGGTGCGCTGGTCATAACCCCATGCAATAACGCGGACAGAGAGACCTCTTCTGTCACAAAGCCTGCCAGTGTGTATGCCAGTTGCTAAAATTTTGCAAATGTGCATTAGAACAGTGAGATCACGATGGATTAGCATTTTGTGTTACACCACTATTGGTTTGTTTATTTGATCCAATATTAGAAGCCCTGTAGCCAGATTTTACTGTGTTGTAAAACCTGAGCTCCTAAGAGAAGACTCACAGGCATGCCCGTTCAAAAGGAAAGATATGCTCCATCGTTTGTGTTTAAATCTGTGCTCAATATCAGCTAGAAGACCCTTAAATGTCCAGATCACTGTCAAAATTCCCTATTAAGCCATGCTTAAGTCCATTAAGTATATGTAGATAACAGCAATTGCCTGGGTTGTTTTCCTTGACCAAAATCTAGGGAATCATTTCCTAGCTCAGAAGTGATCTTTATGTGAACATAGCCCAAAGTGGAGCATATCAGTAAACTGCTGCTATAATCTAGTTGAAAGTAGTTTTTGAGGGTCTTGAAATTATTTTTGTATTGTAAGAAATTCACTACTAGGTAAGTGATACGTCTTAAGTATAAAGAACTGGCTCTGACTATTTTTGTTAAGAATTAGAAAGTTTTAGTCATAAGAGTTTGACAGTGGCCTTTTAACGCTACCTGGATTAAATATTTAAAACATAGAGTGTAAGTTTAAATATTGCAACATCTTGGGTATTTAGAACTGTGCTGGTTTATTTGTAAAATCTAAATGTATGTTAATGGAGTCTTCAGTAGACTGGGGAATTGACAAAAAAAAAAAAAAAACAGATGGGAAGTTTTGCTCTGTAATCTGTCCAGACTTTTGTGATGTTGAACAACAGTTTACACATAAAAAAATAACTTTATCATATATAATCATAATAAAAAATGTTATAATCCTATGCAGTCCACTTATAATTTCTACGTATTTTTCAAGAGAAGCACTTTTTCATTCTAAATGGAGTCTAAAATCTTCAGAACTTGCTAGCTGTGTTTTTTATGCTTCTAAGCAAGAGATTGCATTAGAAACATTTACCTATCATAGACAGATGCCGCAAAGCTTGTATAAAACCATGAGTGGGTACTTCTTGGGAAAAAAACCCCACATTTTAACACAAATTTCAAGTTTTCAAGGTTTTCAATAGAATTCACATACAGAAAACATGGATGCGATGAAAGTATATATTTGGGGGTCAGTTGCAGTTTGTGGTGACGTAGATTGAAATAATTCATAGCATACTTGCTGTCTAGTTTCTGGTAAAAGGTAAGACTCCTTCTTAACTGTTAACTCTGGAAGTTTTGTGGAAATTAGTCTGTGAATAACAAAAGCGGCTGCTGTCATGAAAACCAGCAGAAATGTGCCTGTATAAAGCCAAGAATAAATGGAGAAGGTGAAATGCACCTGTTCATTTGAAAATGAAGATATGCTTCCTTCCAGACAACTGATAACTGGACTTCAGGCGTATGTGGTTGTTCAGTTAACATGATGCATTTGTTTTCTTCCCAGGAGTTCCGGTGTCAGGGTGCAGTCTTCAAGTCAATCTCTTTGCATATTAGTACAAATACAATCTTATTTTCAAAACTAGTTTACCTTGTTAAATTTTGAATTTTATGGGGTGGTGAGGACAGAATTTGAAGGCAAATATAGGTAGAAATAAGATGGGTTTATAAGGGAAATAAGGCAATTAAATGAAAATAATTAAAAAATATTACAACGTTGGTTTTATCTAAAGAATAAAAAAATTAACTTGGGAGCAGCCAGCTGGGAGGCTCCACTTGTCAAGAGTGTTACTGGGGTCCCCCACCCAGCTTTGTTCCTCGGTCCTTTTTGGTGATGGCAGAGGAGTCTTTTATCACACAACCTAACTTAGCAGGACTAACCCACTTGATCGGGTGTCATCATTTCAATGTGCTGTACAACCGTGTATCAATTATTCCCCATTACATGTCTAGGAACAAGGTAACTTTTAGTGGAAGTTAAGATACCTCAGATCTGAGTTTATAAAATGTGGCAACACACAGCTTCCATTCTAATGAAGGATGTGCAAAGCCTTTCTCTGTCATCTGGGGTCAGTAGTAAGTTGTGATGCACATCAAGACTTAGTGGCACTGTCACCACAGCACAGGACAAAAAGATTTCGGTGCCCCAGTTACAAGCACTTCACCTCCTGTCCTACCCTGGTGTTTGAAGCAGGAGCACTAGGAACCCAAAATGTAAGCAAAATCTATCAGTGTCACTACTCATTTCTCAATAAATGGGTTTGCCAACAAGTTGAAGGAAGTTTGTTATTACATGTACTGTGAAAATCACCATATTTGACATCAGATTTGATATGGTAAATTGTCCTAGCAAAAAGAATTGAGTATTTTTTATTGGCATTCAGCAGGTAAGGGAACAGGTTTCGTTTGCAGATGAGAAATCAAATGCTTTCTTGCACTTCTTTGCAGACAAGTAAGAAATAGAGGGCCGAGAAAGACCATTTTGAGGTCACTTAGCATTATCTTCATGCAGAGAAGCAGAACATTTGTTTAAAACTAGAGGTTCCCAGGTCTGCCTGCGCCCACTTATTCCTGTTTTCCATCACTTTTTCTGGTTCTTCAACTTCCTCATGTTTCTGGCCTGTTACCAACTTTTTCCTTTGTCCCACATCCTCTGCTGCTGCTTCCTCACACATACCCAGACTTCTGTCTATGCATCTCCACACGTTCCCCCACCTTTTTCTCTCTCTTCCTCACTCCCAGAAATGGTCTTCCTTTTCTTCATGACATCTGAACTCCACCATCTCTGGAGCACTAGATAAGAAACGCAACAGAGAAAGGGCAGCCCTGTAGCTCACTGTTGGCCATAAAGGTCATTCCACAATGCCTTCTTGATCAACCTAGACTCTTCTTCATATGCAGCCCAAGTTATCCCTTTCTACAAATTAATCTGTTATTCTTGTATGCAGTGTCCATATAACATCTTTTTACATAGCAGAAGACTGTTCCCAGTCAGCTACTGTAAGCTTAAAAACATGACATACAAGGAAAGATTTAATTACCTTGCTTTTTCCCTCTAGATCTCCCCAGTTCCTTTATTCCTGTTTAAACTATGCTCTGCAAAACTGTACACCACTCAAGCTTCGCCAGCACCAAGCAATAGAACATGTTCATCTTTGCCTTAGATGTTTGCACCCTTCTTACTAAATCATATTGCTGATTCATATTTCTGGTCCCTTGTACCATCCATGTTCTGTTCTGTAAGAATATTTGCTATCCAGTTACTTCCCATCTTGCATTTCTGCACTGGAGTTTTCTCCTATGAAAAAAAGCGCTTTCAATTTGCCTTCATTCCATTTTGTATCACTGATTCCAGACTACCTCGCCAATTCATCAACATGATTTTGAATTCTGATCCTGTCTTCCATCATGCCTGTAACTCCTCTAGCCTCTGTGTGGAAGGTATTTGCAGTTGTCCTTTTTACAGCTTACCAGTTGGAGAAGGAAGCCACAGCTTTTGAGGAGGATGCTTTAGTCACACAGGATATCTTTGCATAAATAAGAACAGCCTTCTGGCTGCCTCATACCTTGCTTTCACTATGTCTTCATTTCATGTTCAGCCTATACTCTGCTGATGTAGAAAGGATTTCTTTACAGCAGTCAGTGTTTTGGTTCATTCTTTGACACTTTGAATTTAAGTTTTAAAATGTAAATTCTATTTTTCATACTGCTGTGCCTGCAATCTGGTTCCAGTTTCTTACTGGTTACATATCATTTTTATTTATAGCAACTATGAATGTGTTGCGTTATTTTTGTCATATTGAACTACACCTTGTATTTCACAATAGATGCTATGTTGTGAGGTAGTTATCTCAGGTGAGTAAGGGGTCTTTATAATCATCTTTCTAACACACACAGAAATGAAGGAGTCATTTTAATTAATTCAGTACTACAGCATCTCATTTTATTTTTACATCAGTGAACATCTCTATTTGCCATCATGTCACTATGAAAGAAACATGGGATGTTTCTGCTAGAAAGAACATTCTTAGGGACAGGAAAAAAAAAAGGCATCCTTAGCGTTAAATCCTGGACTGTAGGATGCTATACAGCAGAGCTTAGAATGAGCTTTAGAACAAGTGCTGTTAAAGCCTAGTGTAACACCTTGTCTTTAAGAGCAGACATCTGTAGGCAAAGAAAACAAAAAATGGAGACCTGTTAGGAAAGAGGGAGGGAGATGAGGGTGGAAAAATACATGGCAAAGGACGAGCTATGAATATTTAACTTTTAAAATCTAGGTCTAAGAATTTGACTAACACTGTTTCAAGTTATTATTTACAATTAATGCATGTATTACTGAAATCATTAAGCAGTACCTCTTGTGTCTAAAAATTCAATCAGACTTCATCCAAAACGAATTCTTCTCCAGTCCCCTCACTTCCAAATTGAATTAGGAAGCACAGAAACAGATGCAATTGAAAAGCAATCAGAAAGCACTCATGAGGTTTTATTTTAAATTTAACATTATTTGAAGCTAAATATTTTGTAGGGGTTTTGCTGGTAAAAACATGTTAGGTTATATTTACACTGCACACACTGGTGCAGCACAGGGATACCCAGGCTAGTCATAAAGCAATCTAGTCCTCTGAGAGACATAATTAGCCCAGGTAACTCTAGTGTTAAATCACTTTACTACTAGCTTATACATTAACGCCGCGTTGCTTTGTGTGGTGTTATCACACCTCCAGGCCAGTTAATGCTTTCTATAGAGTACCCACAGGCGGAATATCCCTTCTCTGCTCCTCTCCTCTATTTTTACGTAAAGACAATAAAAGTCATTATTATCCACCTCCTGCCCGCGGTGCGCGGTGTAGGCGGGGCTGGAGGAGGAGTAGTAACTTGCCACCCGGTCGTTCAGCTGCACAAGTACCGGCAGGAGCTGCTGAGCTGAGAGGAGGAACACACAGAAAGGTGCCACCATGGACTACATGCCTCTGCACAAAACAAATAAAACGCGTCTAAATCTACAGTGAAAACAAAAGAAAAAGCTTCACTGCATACTTACAGAGTAGAAACCAACAGTGTTACAAGCCTGCTCTTTGCTTTTGCTGTGCTATCCAAAACCATTTTCAGCATGTGGTTCTTCCAACTATTCAGCTTTTCTTGGATGGGCTAATCTCACCAATTTAATAACTGACTTTGTCCATGTGTGTTCCCGTATGTGCCCATCAGTGTCCTGGGAAGGTTATGAGGCATTCAACAGCAATTAAAATTGGAAAGCATGGGAGAAACAAACGAAAGAACCCTGACACAGGGAGAAGACTCAGGAAAGGTCCTTGGCCAACACTTCTGTAACTGTACCAGAGCTAGAAAGTAAGATACTTCCCAGCAGTTTGATCCAGATGTACACAGGTGTACATTTCCAATCATCAAACTGGCAAGGACACATGATACGTTTTTAATATGGCTTTAAATTTTCACTTCATTTTGTGCTGTATGATTTTCTGTAAGAGTGACATGAACAAACAACACCTGAAGTTGCATCTACCCAAGCAAAACCACTCCTTTAAATTTTTTTTGATTAATTTTATTAAGCAGCTTTTTGTTTTACATCAGAAGGTTCTGGTATCTGATCCGATTTTGAACAGCCAGGTTGAGTTTTGTAATCTCCTGGACCCTCAAATTCAGCTTGGGACAAGGGAACAGTACTGTGGTTTCAAATACTAATAAAATTAGGAACAGAAAAGAAAACATACTCACTTAAAGGGAAGATCTGGCTGGCAGACAGCCCCACAAATGGCTTTCATATAGCAACAGATAAGTTTGAAAATTAATTAAAAGCTGAAGATACAGCTAATAATAAAGCCTTCAAGGATACCTCACAAATAAACAATTATTAAGCTGGCAATACACAGGTGTGAGGAACATGCTAGTGATACTCTAATTTATCCACTCTACTCCTAAGAGGTAATTTTAGAAGGGGTTTAGCCAGCTTTGAAAATATAAGAGTTTGCAAGTCACAGCTACCATACCCAAAATCTAGTATTTATATTTAGCTATTACTATTTGAGCCTGTCTTTTCAGTTTTGAATTCCTGGCACCTCCATTCAATGTGCAATACGAGCACTGCTGCCAGCTTTACTAAATTTACAAACAGTGGCATTTTGATTTCTGGAGCAGAGCTTTTGCCATAGCATCCCATTAACAACAGCACCAGTTGCAGTAGGAATCTCACTGCTTGGAGACCTTCTGCCCTGAAGACCCGACAGTTTAGCGCAAAGTATAACAACATCACTACAAATATCAAGGGCTGTAAATGGTAAGACACTCTCCCTTCCTACACTTGCAAATGAGACTGGCTAGGAATAATCAAATTTAGAGGCAGAGAAAATAGCAGTGCATTTATTCCTGTGGATTTTGTAGCCCCTAATTGTCCTTATCTTTTCAAGCCCACCTTCCCTGGTCACCTAACCAGGTTAGGCATGGGAAGCGGTTACAGCAGACCTGGCTGCATGTCCCTTCTGGAAACACCGTGGTAGACCAGCAGAAGAGCAAGGAGTCCTACCTCTACCACCTGAAACCACTGCAGGAGGATTTGCTCTCACTTGCTCAGTGAAGCACGTAAGCACCTAGAGGCAGGATTCACACAGTCAGCAAGCTTCCTACTAGCTGGCAGGAAACATGCAAGAGGAGAGCTGTACGCTGTTAGGTAACTAAAGGCTAGAGGAAAGTGCTTAGTCAGTCGTGCATCTCATTAAAGTCATGGCAACCTCATTGGCCTGGGAGGCAAGAAGGCAATTTTCTAGCCCATCTTGTAAGTTTAGAAGTAGAGACCTGAATGTGGATCTCCAGTTCCTGGAAGCATACCCAGAGGGTCATTCAGTATCAGGTATTTGAGCCTACTTGCCAGGGAGCAGCAAGGACTGGGGTGCTCCATGAGAGGACAAGCTGGAAGACAAGGATACTGACGCTAGGCACCCCCCCCGCCCCCGAGGTCAGTGTTCTCACCACTCAGTCAGTGCTGTCCTTTTCTCTCTGGCATGTAAATGTGTTGTATGAAGCACAAAAAATTAATTTGTGGGTATACCTGCTTGTTTATTTACTATACAATGCCTACCACCTTGATGTGACCAGCATGGACTGAGCACACAGCTACCAGCATGGTGTCCCAAGACCTGTATTCAGGACCTGTACCCATCACCCTGCTCCAAACTGGGGAAAAAAAGATTTCAAAGCAAACATACAATTGCTCAGATGAATGCATCTAATTGCAGATATATCCAAACAGCAAGGAGTGAAATGAAAAACCTGTAATAAAAAATGTCACTACAGAACAGGTTGAGGATCAAACCTGCCAGTAATTTATGCTTTTAGTTGCAAAGCTACTAAAGGTCAATTACAAACTCCTTACAGTGACCCTGCCTACTTGATCTGTGGACCAGGTAATAGAAACAGACAGCCAAACAAGCCTCATCTCTGCTTGACTTTGTTCAGGAAAAACACGACTTGACCATGCCTACTGAATCCAGCTCTTAATATCGAACAGTGCATACTCAGGGTCAACCTGCTACTGGTTTATTACTGGAAAACTAGGAGTCTGCAGATGTAAAACACCTTCAAGACATGCTGTCAGTCCTGACAGGAGCAGGCCTGAAATGCCTGAAGGCATTTTTTCACTGCCTGAGTCTTTTCAGTGAATCTAGGGAGACTACTTAGCACATAATTAGTAAAGATTTGAACATCCCTATGGTCCAGCTACTAACACCAGACTATGCTGTTTCAGCACTGGTTATAAACAGTCCACTCTGCTCAAGGCATCCCAAATGGCAAGGCGCAGGGATCACCCACTGTGTCACAGACCAGAGCACTGAGGCAGCACTTTTTCCAAGTCTGTGTTTTCTCATCAGTGAGCTGTCTCCCACCCACAGAATATGTAATGTTGGCTCATTCACTTGTTTGCAAAACACAAAAGCATCAATGGCAATGAGAACTGGAATTACTATTAAGGTCTTCAGTCTTCATGCGGTACAGATTGCTTCCCTGTAAAATTTTTAGGAATGCAAAGTCAGTACAATGTCAGAAAGAGTTATTTTTTCCATAAACTCTGAATATTATGTGTGTGTGTATATACATATTGCAAAAATATGCCTATGAATCACATCTCTCCTCACGATCCTGAGGAATCTGACGCAGCCCTCCCAGAGCCCCTCTTGAAGCTGCACAACGAGCAACAGTTCTCAGTTGACAAAAGACCAGGCCACTCCACCAAAGCACTGCCGACACCCAGGGGCGCCGACAGCCACCGCCGCGCCGGCCAGTGCCCGCTCCCCGGCTCCAGACGGCGGGAGAGCCGTCTCACGCAGCACCTCCACAACCCGCCATACTTCCACATCCAAGATGGCGCCGTCCGACCCAGCGGCGGAGGGAGCGGGCAGGGCCCGGCGACGCGGGGAACATTCTGCCACAGCCATGGCGCACCCAGGCTGGAGAGGGGCGCTCCGAGGTGCCCCCGGGAGCCCGCCAGCCGTGCTGGGAAGCGGGGAGGGGGGAAGCGAACGGGGCCGGAGCAGCCGCCGCCATGACCCGCCGGCACGGCCTCTCACCTCTGCCCGCGCCGCGCAGCACTCTGGGTAACGGCACCCCACAGCCAAAACCCCGCCCACCGCTGAGAGGGCGCAAGAGGAACACCCTCTCTGGCTTGAGTGGCAGCCTTTCAGCCAATAACTAGTCGCTCGGCGCTGGGAGGCGGGAAGATCTCCTCTAGCGCCCAATCAGGCGGCGGTGGCGGGGCGAAGAGGGCGCGGGTTGGCAGCCGCCGGCGTTGTGCCGCGTTTCCAAGGGGAAGGGAGCGCGGCGGGGGCTGTGTGGAGGGTCCGGTCGGGTCCGGTCCGGCCCGCCGCGGCCCGGCAGCAGCATGAGCTTGGCCTTGAGGTCGGTATGAGCCGGGTGGTCGTCCCGTCGTCGTCCCCGTCCCCCCCCCTCCCCCCCCATCCCCTTC